TAGTGATACAAGTAACAATAATATATGCCAACCTTTGGGAAGCACAACAACGACTTGTCCAGGTATATATTTCTTATTATTATAGCATTATTAATTCCAGTGGATTTTATGACATTAGTGCAGCAGAGTATTCGCGATATTGTACCCCATTATTGAGCATCAAGGCCATGTGCCATGGATTTTAAGACAATGTTGTTTTCGAAAACGAAACTATTTGAAAAGAAGAGAAATTGTCTGATAACAAGTACTCAGTACTAAAATCGGCATCAAATAAAACGGTTTGTTGCCAATAACAGCGGATTTTAACATCGTAATCAGACTTTTGTGAGGGCATCGTTCAATCTCCCAGGCAGAGTTCTATTTCTACGAATGTATCTCTGCCACCACAAAATCATATGCTTGTTGTTAATTGGTCGAAGCGTCACAGTGGCACTACTTTAAAAGACACCCAACTAAACATTGCCATGCTGGTGTTCGATCTTCGAACCCAATGAAAGCGTAGGCGTTGTTTGTAGATTCTGGCTGTTTTCAAAGTGAGAGTCTAATTTTCTTTACTTCCTGTAATACAAACGGTGTGACAGTAGGACGATTTAGCTGTTAATACCCCTAAGTGAAAGCGTTTTTTTATATTTCTTTGTCTGGCAATCGACAAGACGGTCGCTTTGATGAACCGAGTAACACCTTAGTAACCGTTATTCGCGATGGAATTATTTCTTTTGTAAATTATAATTATTTCACCCTTGACAGTACATTCTGGGTAAAATCATTATCAGCTATCGATAAAATATTTTAAAACTTGTTTTTTTCAATAGAAATAAATCAACAGAAGAGGCCTTCGATAAAAAAATATGCAAATAGTAAGCGTAGTAATAGTCTTGTGGTGATCTAACTGCAAAGAAGGAGAATGGGCATCGTCGTCTGCTCTGTACGATAAAGCTCGTTAGGTCGAAGCGTTCCATCTAGTATGCGCGCATGTGGATAAGGTCCATCTACGCTATGACTAATTGTTATCTACGCTATGTCTGCTATACATCTACATGTTCATCTTCTTTGTGAAAACAAGATTTCATCTATGATTTGTGTGATTTTCATCTGCACAAGTAAAAGAATGTAGATCAAACCATAATTCCACTAATTCCCCCCCTGCATGGTGTAATTTAGTTATTATAAAAGACTTCTTATTATAAACATATTTTTTACATCCCCAGTATTCACAAGAGCCTCCTCAAATATATTGCTTTAATCATTAAAGTTAAAAAACAAATACTTCTATGGGAAAACAAAAAACATCTTATTCATCATATATTTTTTGCCCAAAAGTTTAAACGTTTATACTTGAATGTTTTTTTGAACATTAATGGGCTGAGAAGACACGCTGATCCGAAGTCTCGCAGTTTGAGGAAATGTGAACGAGAAATGTTGCACTTATGTTCCGGCAATTCCATAGAAATTTTGTCTGAGTCAAATGAAATCGGAAAGACTATTTTCAAGTACTGTGATGTGAAAAGAATATATTATCACGTCTTTAAACCATTTTAAATGTATGAACGATTGTGAATTATTCTGAATATTTGTACCCAATGAAACGTATTATCTTGGATGATCTGTGTCATGTTCTTCCAGTTTAGTTGAAAACGTCATCAATTTTTATAGGGTTTCTTCTATTTGGCATTACTGAAGATGACCAATTTTACTAACTAAACCATTTTCACACTAATATGATTAGTATATGCATAGCTTCCAAATACTTCATCCCCCTCAAAAATATACTCTACTACGAACAATTTCTCAACACTACGGAAGAGGATGTTACAGTCGAAAGAAAGCTTCAAGAGTTTAGATAATTTCCAACGTTATAGCATTACCGGGAGGTAGTTGTGGC